CAGGTAGTGTGGTGGTTAAGGACGCTGGACTCCCACATGGCTGACCGCAGTTTGAGTCCCAGACCTGGCAGCTTGCTTTCTCACTCTCTCTCTCTTTGCTCACTCTGTCTCTCCCTGGTCAAATTAAAATAAATAAATAAAGTTAAATAAAATAATTATTAAAAAAAAAAAAGAAGTAACAATTATTTTTAAAAATTGTGTGATCAATATAATGTGGGGGGAAAGGAATGGAAGACAATTGTAGACACTAAAGATAGTGTGAGAAGAGGGTGGGAAAGGGCAGAGGGTCAGAAATAGGGGTTAAAAATATATATATATATATGTAACTAGAAATGGAAAATTATTCATGATAGAATGCATGATTAAGGCACTATGCAGTATATTCTGGATGGGAAATCATATTTTGTATGCTGTTACAATGCTTAGGGAATTAATGTAAACTAATTAATTTTAAAAAATGTTTCAGGAAAAAAAAACACAAAAACTGTTTATCTTGAAATTAAAAACAAATGTATTAAAATACCTATTTGATGGGGCCAGCAGGAGGTGTGGTGGTTAGGGTGCTGGACTCCCACATGGCTGACCTTGGTTCAAGTCCCGGGCCTGGCAGCTTGTTTTCTCATTTTTCATCTATATATATGTAACTAGAAATGGAAAATTATTCATGATAGAATGCATGATTAAGGCACTATGCAGTATATTCTGGATGGGAAATCATATTTTGTATGCTGTTACAATGCTTAGGGAATTAATGTAAACTAATTAATTTTAAAAAATGTTTCAGGAAAAAAAAACACAAAAACTGTTTATCTTGAAATTAAAAACAAATGTATTAAAATACCTATTTGATGGGGCCAGCAGGAGGTGTGGTGGTTAGGGTGCTGGACTCCCACATGGCTGACCTTGGTTCAAGTCCCGGGCCTGGCAGCTTGTTTTCTCATTTTTCATCTCTCTCTCTCTCCTGCTCAGTCTGTCTCTCTCTGATCAAATTAAAATAAATAAAGTTAAATAAAAAATTCTTAAAAAAAAAAAACCTATCTGTAGTATGTTCATTCTACTCACTGAGGTTTATGCCTAAAGTCAGACTTGTGTTCATGGATATGTATATATCAGTTGCGCTTGCTATTGAAAATATTTAGATTAATTAAGATCTTTAGCAAATCAGGACCGGCAGTTAGTGTAATGGCTATGTTGCTGGACTCCCATGTCCCATGTAGTTGACCGTGGTTCAAGTCCCAGACTCAGTGGCTTAAACTCATGCCAGGTGTGTGCGTGCATGCCCAAGATCCCGAGAGGAGAATGGAGGAAAAGGGATTGCGGTGTGGCCAACCCTCCTGTGGGGTGATTTCTCGCTTTTTGTCTGTCTCTCTTTCTGGCGAGCGCACACACCCTATAGCAAAAAACCTCTCCAAACAAACAAAATATCGTTAGCAAATTAATAAAATGTGTGTGGGGGAAAAGGCATAGAAAGCAACCATGGATACCAGAGACAGTGTGGGAGGAGAGTGGGAGATGGCAGAGGGTGAGAGATAGGGAATCAAGGATGGGGAAAAAAGCAAAATATACAGGAAACGAGAAATGGAAAATTATTTGTTGATGATAACACGTATGTTGATGTGCTTGATTGAGCCAATATGCAGTGTATTCTGGATGGAAAATCTCATTTTGTATGTTATAAAGATGTATAGTAATATGTATGTAAATAAATAAAATTAAATTTAAAAAAAGAAAAGGCCTTATTGGAGGGGTCAATAAGTGGTGTAGTGGTTAAGGCACTGGACTCCCTCATGGCCCACTGCAGTTCAGTCCCAGACCCAGTGCACATGTGCCCAGAATCAAGAGGATAATGAAGGAGCGCAGCACCCAAGACCACAGCCTGGGAAAAAAAGATTTTCAAGAGCAAGATTTTTAGGAAAAGATGACGACTTGAATTAGGATGGGGAGATGCAGCTGGATGCTGGTTATACTTTGAAAGCAGAGGCAAGAGGAATTGCTGATGGAGTGGATGTAGGGTATAAGAGTATTCACTGTAACTGCAATGTTTTTGGCCTGAGCAGCTAGAAAGATGGGAAGACCTCAAAAAGGAATCGATTATGGGGGTAAGTTTAATTTTGTTTGTTCGTTTGTTAAATTTGCTATAGGGTACATGTACTCACCAGAGAGCTAGAGTTGAAGAAAACACGCCCTGCATATTTCCAAGCTGCGGGATCTAGGACTGGTTAGTCATGTGGATCCAGTTGGCTTAACCTCTATGCCACTTGATGGCCCAAATTTAAACTTTTATTTTACTTTATTATTTTTTCTTTTTTAAAAAGAATCAATTTAGGAAAAAAAAAAAAAAAAAGAATCATTTTAGGGGCCAGCAGGTGGCATGATGGTTAAAAGTCCTGGACTCCCACATGTCTGACTGCAGTTCAAGTGCCAGACCCAGCAGCTTGCTTTTTCACTTTCCCTCTCTCTCTCTTTCAAATTAAAATCTATCAATCAATCAATCAACCATCAATTTTAACACAGCAGTTATTGTACTTTATGTGTATTATTCTAGTTTTTTAAAAATAATTATTTAATTTTATTTTTTATTATTCTTTTAATTTGATCACAGAGAGGGAGAGAGAAAATGAGAAAGGAGTCTGCCAGATCCAGGACTTGACCCATGGTTGCCCATGTGAGAGTCCAGTGACCCCAACCACCACGCCACCTGCTGGCCCCAATTTTATTATTATTTTTTAAACTTGTATTATTGAACCACAAAAGTACAAGATTTTTTAGAATTATTTACTTAGTTTTATTATTATTATTATTTAATTTGCTATAGGGCATGTGTACTCACCAGAGCAAGAGAGATAAAGTGAGAAAGAAAGCCACCAGGTCTGGGACTCTGGTTGGCCATGTGGAAGTCCAGTGCCTTAATCACCACATCACCTGCTGGCCCCTAATATATATTTTTAAAATTTATTTTATAGGTTGGCCCGATTGCCTAGTGGTTAAGGGAGCTAGATCCCGCATGCTGACTATGCAATTCAAATCCCAGCACTGATGTCCTAGAAAACGTGCTGGGCACATGTGCACGTGTCCCAAATTCTGATGGGGTGTTTTCTCCCTCCCCTCCTCTCTCTGTCTCTCCCTGGGAGAGCACATGTCTACTGGCAAAAATAAATTTTATTTTATTTTTTTCTATAAGCAAAAGAGAAAGCATCTCCAATAGCATTTTGTTGTTGTTGTTAAGGTTTTTGTCATAGGGCGTGTGCACTCCCTAGAGAGACAGAGAGACAGTGGGAGCGAAAATGAGAACTACCCTCTAAGGCAATGGTCACACCGCAGTCCCTTCTCCATTCTCCTCTTGAGATCTTGGGTACTCATGCACCCAACATGACTTTCAAGCCACCAGGTCTGGAACTCCAAGAGCAGTCGGCCATGTGAGAGTCCAACACCTTAACCACTATGCCACCTATTGCCCCACCCTTTTTTTGCCACATGCACTGTCGCGACCCGGGGGACAGTCGAACAGGCTTCCTGAGGGAAGGAGTGAGAGAAGGGACGAGTGGCGTGGAGATGACGCACACAGTGTTACTACACAGAGATGACCCAGTGTCTTCAGGGTCGTCTGTTTATTGTGGGCAGCACGGTACAGCACAGAGACAACGCAGTGTTACAACTCTTCAGGGTGGTCCGAAGACGACGCAGTGTCACAGCTCTTCAGGGTCTTCCAGGTCGTCTGGAGACGATGCGGTGTTATAACTCTTCAGGGTCATCTGGGTCCTCTGGCAATTGTGGGCCAGGGATCAAAAGGTGGGTTATGATTGGTTGCTTTGTTGACCAATCATGAGGTGCCAGATATGCAAATCTGAAGGATTCTAGTGACCAATCAGAGTATGGTTTTGAAGGTGAGGTTTTGAAGGGAAGCCAATCATGGCTTTGGCATTGTGTAATTGTTCTCTGAGAAATCGGCAATATTTGCTGGTGCCTCCCACAATGCACTAGCTGGGGAGAGAGGTAAGAAAGCACCCCACACACACACATGGGGAATGGCCATGCAGCATTCCCCTCTTCTTCTCTTTTAGGATTTTGGGCAGGCCTGGACTCAAGTACTGTCATACTCCCCCCACATAAGCCCACAGGTTCTACACCCCTGGATTTCAAGAACTGCAGATCAAAAATAATCTGGAGGGGCCAGCCACTGGCATGGTATTGGAAATTGGACCCCCACCTGGCCAATTGCAGGGTTGGAGCTTAGATCTAGGTGCCTGAAAACATGTCAGGCACCTGTGTGCACCCCAAAAATCCTGAAAATTGGGAGAGATAGAGGAGAAGAGATTGTGGCTTGACCAGCCCCCATGGGGATACTTTCTCATTCTTTCTCTCTCTTTTTCTTCAGAGAGTATGAGCACCCTTTAGCAAAATTAAAACATACACACACACACACACACACACACACACACACAACCAATAAGATAATACAAATAGAATTGCCCACAGCACGGTGGTTGAGGCAGCTGGGTCCCACATAGCTGACTGAGGGCTTCAAGTCCTGGATCTGGCGCCTTGAAAAACACCACAGGTGTATGTGCCTGCATGCCCCAAATCTCCAGAGAATGGAGAAGGAACTGCAGCATGGCCACCCCCTCTAGGGAGTGATGATCGCTCACTTTCTCTCTCACTCCAACGGGCGCACATACCCTATAGCAAAAATTGAATAATAATACAAATAAAAACAACACAGTATAACTACTTGTATTGGGTGCTGTAAATAGTATAGAGATAATTCAAAGTATGAGAAAAATGTTCGCAGGGTATATGCAAATACTATACCATTTTACATAGGGCACTTGATCATCCAGCAGATTTGGTATTTTCTTGGTCCTAAAACCAATTTCCTGTAGGATACCAAGAAATCAGTGAAACCCTCCCTGACAATCCATTGAAAATTGAGTCACACCCTCCTCCCATTCCCCCTTGCCTATTTTTCTCTCCATAACGCGTGACATAATCTAAAACATATCGTTTACTAATTTACCTTGTTCACTGCCTAATCCCAATAGAAAATTAAGCTCCTTGAAACAAGAACTTCTGTTTTCTTCGCTGGTGTTACCCTCAACAGCCATGCATTGATTTTGCATAAAAGAGCACTCCCGGATCCGTTCGACCTTAAAGCGCACCGCATAGCAGGGGTCTTGCTGCTCAAGGGACAGCAGCGACCGGGTCCCGCCCCCGTCTGGAGGGAAGGTAAAATGGCGGCGCACAGGATGGCCTCAGAGAGAGGGCAACCAACGAGAGGACGTGCCCTAGAGCGTCCACACCGCCCAATTTTTCTGCGGTTGCGTCCTGGGAAGGCGCGAATTCTGGGACTGTGTGCAGATCCTCCCTACCATTTTTTTTTTTTAAAGGAAAAATAATAAACTAAGTCTCAGAGGCTGATTTCACCTGCCTGTTGCCCCGCCCCCCCACCTCTTGGGAGCCCTAGGATGCGAGACATGTAGAACGAGGCTGTGAAATTGAGTAGGTTTTTCTCTCCTGTTGTCAACTCCCGTGTGTCCAGCCCCGTACACACTTAGCCAGTACGCCCCTCAAGGGAAAAGGGCATCCATTCCTCCTAGGGTCTCTGAGCTAGGCTACGCTAATCCCTAGGAGATCCCCGCCCCACCCATTACCCCCACCCTGAGTTCTCCAGGATTAAGTCTCAAGAATCTGGACCCCGTCCCCTCCCCCAGGTCCCTGGGGCAGATGAGCCCTAGGCCACCGCCCCTACAATTTCCTGCAGACCCAGCAAACAAAAGACTCGGGAAGAGAGACAAGGCTGAGCAGGGCGCCCTTCCTGCAGGAACAGCTGATGGAGCAAAATGGCCCAGGAGGGACCTGAGGAGAGGGAAGAAATTCCAGGGTTCCTAGAGGACAAAAGTGGGAGGCCATGCTCCTGCATCTTGGGGAGGGAGGGCCTCCAGGGCACTGGACTTGTAAGGCCCAGGTGGGACATCTGGTTTGCTAGACTACCAGATCCCTGCTTCCCTGGTGGGTGATGTCAACCTTAGGGAATGTAGGAGGTGGTGGGGGGCCCTGGGGTTCAGGTGAGCTCTCTGGCCCCCAGGCTGGAATAGAGGGGGCTGGGAGAGGCCTGAAGCCCTGCGTCATCTCCTCTGGGGCCCAGCCCACCTCCCCTGGCCCGACCTGCTACCCTCTGTGCTAGCCCCACCCAGGCCTGGCTTCCTGCTCCTCCCCACACACATCTTTCCCTGCCAAGCTCCACTAGCCAGCCAGGGGCTTCTTGGCCCTTCAGGACCCTGGTAGCCCAGCCCCACCCCAGCCACAGATAGTCCTTATAGTCCCTCCTAGAGCTAGTCTCCTGCCCACCCCTGCCCCCATTCCCACCACAGACACAATGGTAAGGAAAGAGCCATGGCCAGTGGGTGGGGGGGATGCTGGCATTGGGAGGGGGGGGGGCTTGGCCTCATATCCTGTCCGGCTGCCAGGGGAAGAGAGGAAACAAAAGACTTCCCCCTGCTGGGACAATGAGCCTCCCACAGCCTCTCCGCACCCTCCCAATCCCCTTCTCCACCTCCCCACACTCCCAATCCCTGGCCCCTTAGCCTCCCTCTTCTGCCCTCTGGTACCCTGGGCTGTGCAGCAAACTCTGCTTTGCCTCTTCCTCCTTCCTATCCGCTCTGACTGATCCTTGCTCCCTTTCCTGGTGGTTTCTCCAAGCCCCCTGCTGCTCCAACAGTGCTCACGGTCCCTTCCTGTGTGTCCCCGTGCCAAGGTTGGGGACATGGTGGGAAAGTCTCCATGGAATGTTAGGGGGTAAATCACACCCCTTTAAAGCCCAGTGGTGAGTAGAGGCTCAACGGGAGAGAGGCTCCCAGGGAGAGAAAGGTAAACGCCCCCTGCCTAGTCCTGGCCCCTGCCTAGTCCTGGCCGGGAGAGTGAGAGAGGAAGGAGAGGGAGCTGAGGCCCTTAGGGAGGCAGGAGGCAAGAGGCAGGCTGGAAGCCCATTCTGGATGCTGAGCGCCCCGGGGTCTGGCAACCTGGCGACTACTCGCTGAGTGCATTTGACAGGTGCTAACTCTTCTGAACCTGTCTCTTCAATTTAACATGAGTGTCATAATAATACCCACTCTGCCTCTCTAATAAGACTCGTATGAGGATTTAAATATGATATTTGGGGACCAGCAGGTGGTGTGAGGTTTTAAAGCGCTAGATCACGCATGGCTGACTGCACAGCTCGAATCCTGGATCTGGAGCCTTGAAATACACGCTGGGCACATGTGCGTGCCCTATACATAAATATAAAAGCAATATATATATACTTTGCTTAGAGAAAAAGTGAAGTTGGGAAGCTTTCCTCAGTCTTCCCAGTAACTCTTCACACTCCGCCTCCTGACCCCCCCCCCCCCCTGCCATAGCTTCTATTCCTGGCAGTCGGCCGTACATCCATAACTCCCAAACTTCCAGCCAGTATGCTCAGTATGCTGTCTCGAAACTCCCGACCGGTAGAGCCCAGACGCTGTTGACCTCTGGCCCTATTGCCTAGATGTGCACAGAGATCTCACACTCAGCATGTCTATCTTGTCCTCCCTGATGGTCCCTGTTTCACTCACTTCTGGCCCAGGTTCAAAATGAGTCATCCTTGATTTCAGTTTCCCTGACTCCCACAGGGCTTCAAGCCCTGCCTATCTTGCCTATCTGTCTAGTTCGTTCACATCTATTGAATCTACCTTGCCCGCCTCCTCCCCCGCACCCTGCAACTACACACACACACACACATACACTACACACATCACATTTTGGTTCAAAGCCATATCGTCATGAATTACTGCAGTAGTTCTTCTACCCCAATCTTGATCCCTTTCGATCCATCTTTCAAAGTTGTACAAGTTGTGGGGCTGGCAGGTGGCACGGTGGTTGGGGTGCTAGACTCCCACATGGCTGACTGCATTTGAGTTCTGGACCTGGTGGCTTGCTTTCTTACTTTGTTTTTTCTCTCTCTGGTCAAATTTTAAAAATAGTAATAAATAAAATAAATAAATCTTATTTTATCTTTTTTTTTTTGAGCACCCCCCCCCCCCCCCCCCCCCCATAGCTTCTATTCCTGGCAGTCGGCCGTACATCCATAACTCCCAAACTTCCAGCCAGTATGCTCAGTATGCTGTCTCGAAACTCCCGACCGGTAGAGCCCAGACGCTGTTGACCTCTGGCCCTATTGCCTAGATGTGCACAGAGATCTCACACTCAGCATGTCTATCTTGTCCTCCCTGATGGTCCCTGTTTCACTCACTTCTGGCCCAGGTTCAAAATGAGTCATCCTTGATTTCAGTTTCCCTGACTCCCACAGGGCTTCAAGCCCTGCCTATCTTGCCTATCTGTCTAGTTCGTTCACATCTATTGAATCTACCTTGCCCGCCTCCTCCCCCGCACCCTGCAACTACACACACACACACACATACACTACACACATCACATTTTGGTTCAAAGCCATATCGTCATGAATTACTGCAGTAGTTCTTCTACCCCAATCTTGATCCCTTTCGATCCATCTTTCAAAGTTGTACAAGTTGTGGGGCTGGCAGGTGGCACGGTGGTTGGGGTGCTAGACTCCCACATGGCTGACTGCATTTGAGTTCTGGACCTGGTGGCTTGCTTTCTTACTTTGTTTTTTCTCTCTCTGGTCAAATTTTAAAAATAGTAATAAATAAAATAAATAAATCTTATTTTATCTTTTTTTTTTTGAGCAGTTTTTGCTATAGGGTGCGTGTGCTCACCAGAAAGACAGAGACAGAGAGACAGAAAGCAAGAAATCACCTCCCAAGGGGGGATGGCCACACTGCAATCCCTTCTCCTGTATTCTCTTGGAATCTTGGGCATGCACACACACAGACGCGCCCAGCGTGAGTTTAAGCCACCAGGTTTAAGACATCGGGACTCAAACCGCAGTCGACTACATGGGAGTCCAGCGACATAGCCATTAAACCAACTGCTGGCCCCATAAATCTTATTTTTAAAAAGTTGTTTAAGTGGAATCTTTCTCTACAAATCAGAGGGTGTTTCTTCTTGGACTAAAACCTTTCAGTGGTGAGCCAACCAGTGATGTGGAAGTTGGGGCAGCTGGATCCCACTTGGCTAACTGTGCAGTTCAAGTCCTGGATCCAGCAGCTTGGAAAACAAGCTGGGCACATGTGTGTCTATGCCCAAAATCTTGAGGGGAGAGTAGAGGAAAAGGGATCGCAGTATGGCCATACTTGTTTTCTCTCTCTCTCTCTAATGTAGATGCCTATGGTGAATGCATGTGTGCTATAACAAACATTCAAAACAAAACAAGGACCAGTAGGTGGCATAGTGGTTATGATGCTAGACTCCTACATGGCTGACCGCAGTTTGAGTCCCAGACCTGGCAGCTTGAAAATCATGCCAGGCATGTGTGTGTGCATGGCCAAAATTTTGAAAGTAGGATGGAGAAGAATTTCTCACGTTCCCCATCTCTCTCTGGTGAGTGTACGCACTCTATAGCAAAAACAAATATCTTCAGTGGCTCTCCTGGTATTCAGGACAAGCCCACACCTCCAGAAAGGGCAAGTCCAGCATTGACTGTGGCTGGCCCTTGGTCACCTCTCCTGCCCATTCATGTCACTGTCCTTGCACTCTCTGCCCTGGCATTGTGAACTCAGGCGGCATTTGGAATGGAACAGTCTCACTACTCTCATGTTTTTGTATTTGCTATTTTTCCTGCCTTTAAATTCTTTTCCTGCCAGTCCCCTCTAGGGCTCATTCAGACAGCATCATCTTTTCCAGAAAGCTCACCTGGAAACTGCAGGCTGGATTAGCTGTGCTCCCTTCATGACCCCTTACACCCCACTTGCTGTCTGCACTTGACTGCTGGGTTCTGTTGGCCCAGGCCTGGGGCTGATTCTACCCCTGGGCTGTCCAGTCCCTGAAGGCAGAGAACTTCACGTCCTCTGCCTTGGCCCATAATATGTGTTAAATAAATAACTGCCGAAGAGCCAGGACCGAGGACTGGTGGTTATGTGAGCTAGATCCCACACGCCTGACCACGTAGTTCAAGTCTCCAACCCCGAGGCTTGTGAAACACATCAGTCGTGTGTGTGCCTAAAATCCCAAAAGGAGGGAGAAATGAAGAAGGAATTGTGGCTTGACCATTTCCTAGGGGGGATTCTTTTTTGCTTTCCCTCTTTTTTTCCGTCTCTCTCTGGAAAGTGCATATATCCTCTGGCAAA